AGAATGATAATAACTAAATACTTGTGCTGGTATTACTGCATCATTGAATGCCCTTGCGCATTGTGGCTGCTGTCCATACTGACCCTCAGCAAGCTGGCCAGCCTAGCCCCTGGGCTATGAGCAGCAGCGGTGCAGTGGTGAGAGACTCTGTCTCTCGCACCCAGCTCCCGGGTTCGAGTCCCACTGAGGACAAGTTCTACCAGAAAGCTCAGCTCATGGTCAACTCAGCCATTCATCCAACTCTGGTTGATAAATGAGTACCTGGCTTGTCCAGGGTGCTCTGTAATGCAATAAAATGGTTCTGGCAAGTCAGCGAGCCAGTGATGGTCGTAGAACTACCAGTGGTACGGAGTACCTGGAAAAACTTACCTATCACTCTCCCTCCCTAGTTCCACTATCAGGATGGGCAATTACAACGACAGCCCCTGGGCTAAGTACAGACTAGTACTTGACAAATTTCACTAGCAAGTAAATCAGGAGCTAGGTGCAAATAAGCAATTACATGTGATGATATCTTCACAACAGTAAAATTTTCCTGGCAATATTGCATATTTTATTGCATAAAATATGCAATAAACTCCTTAACTTTGAAATATGAACCAAAATATACTAGTTTATTTGTAGGTTCTGCTATAAAAATTCCATTTATTTTCTTATTGCAGTATTTAAAATTTATTTAGGAAGTACCCCTATCATAAATTTTAGCTGGCCAACACAATTGAGAAAACTAAATCACGGAATTTGTCCTGAAAAAATGACTGCCTGGCAACCCTGCTTAAAAAAAGTACAAAAAATGAAATGATAGTACAAGATGAAGCAATCGTAGTCAACGTGTTTAAGCCTGTCAGAGTACCCCCTCCAATTTTTTTTATTTTTTTGGTAAAATAACTCCAGGTTTTGATGCATTGTAGTAGAACTCTTCTAGTTACATTTGCAAAAGACAAATTTTAGGAAAGTGTCATAGTTTGCAAATTGCCCCCCAATGGGGGAACTGTGACCACCTAAAGGCAGCTGTGATGGGGTAACTTTGACCGGCTTGGAAATTAAGTTAAAATTACCATAGGTACCTATATAACATATTTTATGTTTGATACACCTATTAATGTTTTTTTCTTTACGTTTCAGACTCTACAGAGTCTTATATATGGTAATTTTAGCTTAATTTCCAAACCGTCAATGTTACCCCGTCACGGCTGCCATTAGGTGGTCATATTTCGCCCATTGGCAGGCGGCGCCTCCCATTTGCAAACTATGACAATTTCCTAAAAGTTTTCTTTTGCATATGTAATTAGAAGAGTTTTACTACAATGCACCACAACTTGGAGTTATTTTACCAAAAAATAAAATTGATTTTACCATCCGGTAAAAGAAACCCCAAGAGCTGGGGTAATAAAGACCATCATTTTTTTTGAAATTACATCAAAACTATGAGAGGCAGGAGCGAGCAATTTATGGTGAGCAAAGCTAGAGTATAGACCTGTATTTTGCATGTTTCAATTTAAGTTTGATGTAGTAATTCCTAAGGCAATAAATAATTACGGGGCGTGACTACCAAAACTGCAAGCTGAAGCCAAACCTTTCAGTGCCCATCATGACAGCAACGTGAAAGGTGTGCAGCCAGTTGCTTGATGCCTTCCTGACTTGGTTTAAGGCTAAGTTACGGTATCTTGGCTGCGTTGCGACTCTTTTATGTATTTAAGTGCCGCGCGGGCAGTCTTTTGGCCGTACTGAAAACCTCGTACTGCTCTCACGGCAAATCTATCTCCTCCTACAGTTTTCAAGCTACAGCAATGAGACATATACCATTCGATTCGTAAAGACCAGGCCTATCGACTCTAACATCACTTTTTTTAATTTTGGTCTGGTTCGTTTTTTGTATGGGGGAAAAGGGGAGGGAGGGGTGAAAAATGAGAAAAAAATGGGAAAAATGGAAAAAAACGCAATAAAAAAAAAAAAACTAGATGGAAAATGAAAAAAGTGATGTTAGAGTCAATAGATATGGTCTTTACAAATCGATTGGTACGTGTCTCGATGTTGTAGGATGATATTTGCGGGAGGAGATAGATTTTCTAAAGTAACCCTTTTTAGCCGTTTTCTATCAATTTTTTCAAAAAATTCATAGGAGCAAAATGTTTTTCTTTTTACATTTCACGTATGTATGTGAAGTTTCATGACAATCGGATAATAACTGTAGAAGTTTACCGTAGGGGTAGCCGATCCCTTATTCAATTTTTTTTTGTTAGTTGCATTTTTTTGTCCAAGCACAAGCCAGTCAAATTATCTTGCAAGTTTAATGGCACTTGAAAAACTAAATGTCTTCCATGCATGCAAATGAAAACTGCTGATTTAGGTTGGATTGTTATGATCTGCACGTCATTTGTGCACATGCCTAAAATTTGACAACACAAAACTCAAACTATCGCCAGTCATGAAAAGATCCGGTCAAATGACAGGAGTTTAGATCTATGAACAAGGCACGAAAAGGAAAAGAATCGGCGACAGGCCACATCAGGCCAACATTTCAGCGCCGACATCATTATCATATGTTAGTGAGAGGCGCAACTTATGATCTACATAGAGACCACAATTGCCCATACGCGGGAGAGATATGACATTTCATCTCCTCTTTTACAGCGTTACAAAACATACATTTAAACTTTAAGCATTATTTGGAGAAAAAAGGAAATAAGTCAATAGATACTGAACACATCATAATAAATCGCATTAGCTGACATTTTTAGAGGGATAACTAAACCAGTCATCACCTGGCAGGTGGCGCTGTTGCGATGAATGCATTTCGTTGAGGTGGGACTAGACCGCTTCGTTCCCTGCTAATCCATAATTCGTGTACCAAGTAAACATTTCAAGAGATTATTAGGAGGCAATGTCCCAACTGAAGTTAAATGCGAATTGTTCCCATTAGTGCGAAGCGTTTTCAAGTCGTCATCGGATTGATTCAGCGCACTCCAGATATGAGAACCTAGCATCAAATATTTGCACACACAAGAAAAAATCCCGTATTGGAGTCATAATTTTCAGCGAGAACAAATGAATATATAAAAAAAATGATTCGCATAAGTAGATATTGATGAGCAGTATTTTTCACGGATTTCAGATCATCAAGGCGATGTAAACGCAAATTCTTCAGTACAAAGTTTAAGAGTTGTCCCTTTGGGCTACCGCGGCGACACATAACGCCGCGCCGGATCGAAAGTTCCCGCCTTATTTTGTAATAAGAGGGACTTAAAGTTCAGGTTCAGGCGCCCTTAGTCTATTGCGTCTGTCGGTAATGCGTTGGGGAAGAGACAAATTTATTTACAATGGTAGTAAAGGAAACGGTAACAGTGCTGCCAGGTTTTTTTTTGGCGCGAATACCAGATTGCCTGGCTCAAAATACCATAAATATACCAGAAATTTTATTGTTCAAAAACAGCCTAATACCTCTAAATTTAATGAAACTATTCGTCAGAAATGTTGGTTAGAAATGAAAGAAAAAAATCATCTTGCGTACTGTACGATTATCTGGCTTGACGATAATTAGCCAAAGTGAACACGTTATATTTGTTCCCTCTTTTTGGAACATTTTGACACTTTTCTTTTCCTGTGTTTAAGAACATTGACAATTTTTCCTTTTTTATCAGTGTCAGTGTGGCACTTTTTCCCTTCGCTCAACATGAGCAAGCCACGGAAACAGGTCATCTTCCGTTTGCTTATTTGCGTACATGCTTGCATATTGCATTAATCTAACATTTCGGGTATTGACAGAAGTGGGCAGTAGCGCGTTACATGTTGCAGCCGCTACTAGCGACCGCTACATTTTCAGTGGCGGAAGCGGTAGCCGCGCTACATTTAAGCAATTGTAGCGGTAGCGGTAGCGCCCGCTACATATTTAAGTAGCGATCACGAGGTTTGCCGCTACAGCGCTACCGCTACATTTATAGAAAAATCCTGTAGATTTTACTTAATAGTATTAAATATTATTTAAAAACAAGCATGATACATACATAATATAAATTACAGAATAAAACTGTACGAAGGATTTCGGTGTAATGTTGTCAACCTCAACCCGTTACTAGTGTCAACATGTTAGTTGTTACTTGTGAAGTTGTTACCAGTTATCACTTGTTCTTGTTCCGTGCCAGCCACCACATGTCCACGACCACCACATGTCCACGACCACAACACGGACATGTTGGTTTTTTTTGTGATTTTGTTGTTGGTTTTTGTTGGTTTTCAGTAAAATGTTTTTTTTTATATTTCTGTTCAGTACATATGTAGTTCAGAGTAAATGTTTTTTTTTTATATTTCAATTTGTTTCCGACTTGCGAGTAAATGTTATAGGTATTTTTTTATGTTTCAGTTTGCTTACAGTTATTTTTACACAGTTATTTTTATGTTGCACCTTCCCTACATGGATGTCTACTTTAATCTACCAATCTCAAAAATAATTCATGTGGAACTCGAAACTGTCACGGCGTCCCTTAACCCTCTACCGCCTGACATGAGTAACCGAAGCAATATTGTCACAAGCCTACTTCCCAAAAAGGATACGTTCCAGTGAGCGCAAAGTGACTTACACTGATTGTTGCTGCCACGTACGACAACTTCAAAATGCTCTCTGTTGCGTACAAATGTCCTCAGGTTGCTACACTGAAAAGTTCACATATAATTTAACTTGAAAGTAATGTTCCCGAAGAGTGACATACGATGTTAGAGGGTTAATATTCTTAAGTGTGCGCGGCGTATGCCCATTTAAAGACCCTAAAATTCGCGCCAAAAGGTTATTCTACTGCTGTGGCCGTCACACAAGTACGGTCTGTAGCTATCTCCGCAACGGCTCCGGTCGTTGCGGTGGGTCGCAAAATAACGGCCGTGCGAAACGTCGAGTCATGCACACTACTATGACTCCGATATAAGAACGGCAAAATCTGCGAGTAATGGCCATGATATCAAAATATTTGTACGGTCAACATCATTGCTGCGGCTGTGACTTAGCAGCGATGACGGACTCCAGGCTATTCATGAGCCCAGACTTTTTAACAAAGTTCAAAGATGAGTACCGCAATTTGCCGTGCCTTTGGAAGGTTCGTTGCTCGGAATATTCCAACAAATCAAAAAGAGATAAAGCATGGGAACATCTCGTGGGGATTACGCGGGAAAAAGTAGTGAATGCAGACCTTAACTTCGTTAAGAAAAAAGTGGATAATATTCGAGCATCATTCAGGAATGAATTGAGAAAGATTCGCGAGAGCACGCGAAGTGGTGCGTCATCAGATGATACGTACATCCCAACTTTGTGGTACTTCGAATTGCTCAAGTTTACCGCTGAGCAGGAACAGCCTCGACAAACAATGAGCAATTTGGACGAGGGCGAAGAGAATCATCTCGAAGAAGAAGCCGGTATTGTTGAGGTAAGCTTGTAGTGACTCTTCGTATGGCAAGGTTAATAAAATAGATAATACATAAGTTTCAACCGATTATTTTTTGTCCGCAATCGAGTGCAACGTTACTGCTGTCGCCAAAAATCTCATTTACTAACCATTCTGTCTTGAAAGGGGACTTTTCCTGGAAAAAATAGTTTACACTTTTCCCATTGAAATAGTTTACATGGTCCTCTCGACTCTCATAAGCTTCCTTTGCAGCTGTTGATACGTAGGAGCCGCGAAGCTCATGAAAACTCCTCAGGTTGATCATTTCTCCAATCACCTGCTGCAACGTTGCCGCTTTCAATATCTTCCTTGTCCAGCATTGAACTAGGCGAATACTCCGATCTATTGTTTGCCCGTAGATAATTGTGCAAAACCACGCAAGCTAGCACAATATCATCTACTTTTGAAGGACGAAGATTGATGGTTGTGTGAAGAATGCAAAATCCTGGTTGCTAACACACCAAACGCATTTTCCACACACCTGCTTGCACGAGAGAGCCTGTAGTTGAAAATTTTTCTTTCGTACGTTAATTTTTCTCGAGGATAAGGTTTCAGTAGATTTCTTTGAAGTGAAAAAGCCTCATCAGCAATAAACACAAAATTCAATTTAGAAACTGTATTTTCGTTCTCAGGCAAGTGCAAAGCACCTTGTTTCAATTTATCATAAAATCTCGTCTCTTCTATCACCCCTCCATCTGACACTCGTCCGTTGCAGCCGACATCCACCATTATGAAATTGAGGTTGGCATCGACGATTGCTGGTAGTACTATACTGTGGTATCTTTTATAATAATTATTGTAGTAGTAGGACCTTTCCTCTGCTGGTTTTACAATGCTCACGTCACACGTGCTTTCCATCAATAGCACCTCCACAATTCGGAGAGTGCCACATTGTGTGAAATTCGTGTGCGATTTTCTGCCATTCCTCGCACGATGATGGAAACTGAAACGAAACACAATAGAATTTAGATTATTTTAAAAGTATTGACTGGAGTGCATAGTGCATTCTTCAACAGTATTGCAGTAGTAAATATAACAATACCTATCTATTTATATATTCGTTTCTTCTACAGGCCGAACCAAACGAAGATGGGAACAACGCCGACAATGAAGAATTATTGTACAGTGAATCTCAGACTTCGTCCACAAAGCGGAAAAGAATTTCACCTAAGCGAACAAAAAATTTTAGTGCTGAGGAGGAAGTGTGCCAACGCAAAGCACTTCTAGAAAAGGCTTCTGCTGTACTAAATAGACCGGAGGATGAATAGGATGACCTAACCAAGACGTATGCAGCAAAATTTCGCAGCATGCCTGTTTCTCAAATTGAATTGCATGTTGTCCACTTAGGCCCAGTCGTATTTTGCAGACATGTCTTCTTGTAACCTCACGCAGTCTTCCCTGCCCGTATCGTCATCAGCACTCTGGTGAATGATGTGTTAGGAAGTTTTGGATCCAAGCAAATAAATCTCCTCCGACCCCTTGAAGTCGTAGTTTCTGAAGAGCACTCCATGATCAACTCTGTAAATCGCTTTCGCGAAGTCTAAATACACCACGTACAACTTCTTCCTTCATCATGGCCAGAATTTGGTGGTGATGCTCCAGTAATTGGGACAAGCATGAGCGATGTCGTCTGGAACCGAGCTGTTTTCCGCTGAAAAGGTCAGCTTCCTCCATCAACTGCTCCAACCTGCTGGTCACTACCGTATCAAATACCTTGATTACATGTGATGTTAATGTATCCGGTCTGTAATTTTGGGGAGTGCAGCCAGCTTGATTACGAGCGGAAAGGAATAGATATTGAATTGTGGGCAAGGGCTATGCAGGGGTCTATACAGCGTCCCTAATTTTGGAGTTTGTCTCATGCACCATCTTTGTTGATTGGAGTTATTAGCCCCCACTTTCGGTAACTAGGGAGGTTTCCTTCTCTCAACGGTGCTTTCCAGTGCACAGTCAGTGAGGCCTTCTGTACACCCACACATTTTTTCATCAACACCGAAAGCACACCATCCGACTCAGGAGCCAAACAAGTACATAGATACTACTTGGTTAATCCATCATAGATCGACATTTTGGATTTAATATTCGTCTATATGCCATCCTGACAAGTATTATTTTAGAAGCAGCAGTGAAATGTTAATAAAATTTGTCGATGTCCCGCAAAATCAATTCGAAGCATAAGTAATGCCGCGCTTGGACGTTAATAAGCTTGTGTTAGAGCTCATGAGATGATCAAAATTGTATTAATTCAACCATGATCAAAGTGACCGCTCCGATACATTTAAAATAAATTTTTGGAACGAATTTTAAGGAAAATATTTCGTAGCACGTTTCTCACGCATAAGTTTTCCCAATCAAACGGATTTTGATCTGCTTAAATTTGACCTCATTAACGGATGTCGCAAATTCGCAATAAGCTTTAATAACTACCAAAAAGTCGTATTGACAATGATTACTTATATTTTGAATTTAATACAGATCCGTCCTCAATTGAGAGAATTATGAGCTGTTGAGTTGCACAAAAGGTGTGTTTACTGGCTAACGAGTTCGGAGAACTGTCTATTGGGTCTTTAAATGACCCGCCTCTTCCGATTTATCTCGATCACTTTCATGGGCAAATGAAGAAGCATGCAATTTATGAAAATAGGATTCAAATTGTAAGGGAAACGCATTTCTTAGAGTTTTTAGTAAGATAAGATCAAAAATAAATACGAAAAAAAGATAATAATGTTTAACAATTTCGTATGCTGGGACATATTGGAACTAGATTACTTCTAGAAAACGAAAAGCTTATAAAACGAATCAAATTCAAAACCTTTCAATATTCACAGTTTTTTGTTTAAAAACTCTCTATGATCGATCGAACTTCATTTTGATTTCATTTTACGATAATTTATTTCCTCATTATATATTGTCATATTTTGCCAGAGAGACCAAAGGTATCCTTACGCCTATGTCCGCCGCCTTCCATCCATCTTGGTTGGTGAAGTGAGCGAGAGTCTTGGTAGAGTAACAAATCTCACATAAATCATGGCCCTCAAAAGAATTAACAAGGTAAAAATATAAAATTGTTTGATATTATATCTCTCGAGTGGGTAAAGTGAAATATAATTCGCCTTTTATTGATTACAGTTGATTTATTTCCTAAAGTGGTGCGAGCGTGTCATGCGTGTTCGATGACTTGGCCTCGTTAGCAGCATTTCGCTCTGTGCCATATAACGGATCCTATGGAAATGACATCTATCATCTATGATAATGAATTTGAATTCTTCTGAATTAATTGAATTGAATTGAATTAATTCTTTGAATTAATGAAATTTTTGTGTTGTGTAATTTTAGATATTTGGTCAAGATTTGGTAGAGAACTAAGAGAAGTACTAGCGTATTGATAGAATTATTTTTCTTGTATTTTTCATGAAATTAGAAAAATTTTGTTAGTTCTAACTTGTTTATTCATGTACTAAGAGTTAGAGAGTATGCTCTATCTAGTCTCTCTTCATGCCAGAGGGAGAGTCACGGTGTAGAAATGTTGATTTGTAACATGTGTACCTAATTGTGTATTGGAGTCTTGGAGATGGATTCAGGATGTGATGAAATTCAAGCTTTCATAGTCAGTCCTAACGTCCAAATAGGCTAGGTATAAGCCGAGTTGTCTGAGTGCTGAAAGGAAAGATTAGTTTTATATTTCTGAATCCAGTAATGTTTGCTGTTGATGAAAAATGACTTTAATTTGGCCTCCTTAGAAACAATGCCTTACTTGCTAAGTTGCTAAATTCCCTAGTGGCAAACCAGAGATTTTTTAGAATCAGTTCATTTTTAATTTCCTCATTTACCCAAGATTTTAACAGATTTCTCATGTATGATAATTCTGGTATCCAAGATACTTTACTGGTCTACTTATAGGACTCAAAAATGAACTTGAGGAAGAGTCTAAAAAACTCTCTGCTTTGTGACTATGCGCCACGATTGAATTTTTTGAGCCGTGGTTTTATGGATTTGCCATCCGTGATTCCATTTCACTGAGCCGTGATTCCATTTCACTGAGCCGTGAATTCAATATCTCAGTTCTCGGCCATGAAAAGCCATTTACAAGGTGCAAATTTATTTACAAAGTCAAGGCATGTGTTACTCCAAATCTCTGATTTTACCCTAATACAGTCAAACCGCAACAATAAAATTTGTCTTTACTGTAAGTTGAACATGTGTTAATACAGTCTGACGGCACTCTGACCGCAACTATGCGCGATCTTCAACAAAACATTTAGTTATTTTGTTTACATTACGATGTTTACGTTTTTTCTGCCGAATATTTTGGCAGGAACGGTAAAGCAATGCAGATTGCAGAAGCTGTAAGTTTTATGAAATGACATGTTTGTAAAGTGCAAACCGCAATTTTTCAATCAAACAAAAGCTTATGACATTCGAGCCGTGAGATTTCATACCTACTGAAATTATATGACATTAGAGCCGCAATATTTCAGACAAAAATAGGACTTTTCCAGCCCTGCCCTAAATCTGTCTCTTATACACATCTAGATGTGTATAAGAGACAGCAAGTACATAGAANTTACTTCCTGTCATGTTATATTGCAACTTACTTCCTGTCATGTTATATTGCAACTTACTTCCTGTCATGTTATATTGCAACTTACTTCCTGTCATGTTATATTGCTGTCTCTTATACACATCTAGATGTGTATAAGAGACAGGCTCATGGTCAACTCAGCCATTCATCCAACTCTGGTTGATAAATGAGTACCTGGCTTGTCCAGGGTGCTCTGTAATGCAATAAAATGGTTCTGGCAAGTCAGCGAGCCAGTGATGGTCGTAGAACTACCAGTGGTACGGAGTACCTGGAAAAACTTACCTATCACTCTCCCTCCCTAGTTCCACTATCAGGATGGGCAATTACAACGACAGCCCCTGGGCTAAGTACAGACTAGTACTTGACAAATTTCACTAGCAAGTAAATCAGGAGCTAGGTGCAAATAAGCAATTACATGTGATGATATCTTCACAACAGTAAAATTTTCCTGGGCAATATTGCATATTTTATTGCATAAAATATGCAATAAACTCCTTAACTTTGAAATATGAACCAAAACAGGAAGCAACTGTGACTGTCATATCACTGAGAATCACTACCACAAACTTATAAAGTACCGCATCATGAACGCCATTTCTGATGTCATTCACACGTCAGATCCTGACTCCAAAAATAATCTTTTTATCAATTTCCACCACCACTATATGCCTATAGGCAGAGCATCTGACATGCTGCAACTATGTTAAAAAAACTTCTTATATCATATTTCATAAATTGCATAGTACAATACTGTAAAATGGGGTTACTTTGACCAGCGGGGTAACTTTGACCACTTTTTGTTTTTTTAACAAAAAACCCTCAAAACTCAAAAACGATTTGACATCGAAAAATTTTGTCAATGGCCATCAAAGGCCTAATACTGAGGCTACGTAACACAATAGAAAGATTTAAAAAGTTTGCATATCTAATAGGTTAAAAATATATCTTCACAACAGTAAAATTTTCCTGGCAATATTGCATATTTTATTGCATAAAATATGCAATAAACTCCTTAACTTTGAAATATGAACCAAAAGTCCAAAACAGAAAGCAGCTGTGACTCGTGTATCACTGAGAATCACTACTACAAACTTGTATAGTACCGCATCATGAATGCCATTTCTGACGTCATTCACATGTCAGATCCTGACTTCAAAAATCGTCTTTCCATCAATTCCCACCACCACTATGTGCCTATAGGCAGAGCCTCTGACATGCTGCAAGCATATTAAAAAACTGTTTGCTTGTTCTGATATATATGATAAATTGCATAGTACAGTATCACATTTTATTTTTAGCACAAAATGACACCCTTTGCAAATCCCGGCCAAGCAAGTAGACTACATAAATTTATTAGTATTTATCATAAAAAATTAGAAGGCATTGTCATAATTCAAGTTTTTTTGTTGGTTGCATTTTTTTTTGTCAGAACACAAGCCAGTCAAATTATCCTGAAAGTTGGACAGGACATGCAACTGAAAACTTCCATGCATGCAAATGAAAACTGCTGATTTAGGTTGGATTGTTATGATCTGCACGTCATTTGTGCACATGCCTAAAATTTGACAACACAAAACTGCATGTAAAATGGGCTGTTAATAATACTTATTACTAAAGTTGGATCCAGGCCATAATGTGGGATAAATGTGTGCAGATTCACAGGTGTTTTTGTCCAATTCATGGTTGGCTTCTGCCCATTTTCCTAATAAGTCTGCAATTACAAGGCTTCAAATTAATTGAAATATGTCTTTATAGCTGCTACATTTCCTTACTGAGGAATTAGAGAAATCTCCCCCCAGTGAATTGAACAAAAATGCCAGTGAATTTGCCCAATTTCACCCATTCTTTTACTTTTTCCCAATTCATTTAGTGGAATGTAAATTTAAAAATAACCTCTTTTTAGATGCCATTTTCCAAAATCACCGGTAAAAAGGTTGTTTTACATGCAATTTTAGGAAACTTCTGCCCAATTGTCCAAATTTGCAAGATTTTGGTAATTAGTAATTTTCCAATCTTGCATCTAGTGACAGGCAGCCCTAAGTTTTTTGGGTATCTGCTATACTGCAGAAGTGCCCTCATAACTTGCTCTGTAGTCATTATAAATTTCTGGATACATTCCAACAAGTGAAGAGAAATTGAAATGTCCAAGTTTATAATTCTGTCAAAGGTTGACAGTCATAACCTTGAAAGGATCTGTCTGATCTAGTAAATCAATTAGTTAAAACCTGAAGGGTTTGGGTTCATTTATCACTGTCCGAATAACATATTAAATATTCAGTGGCCAGGGAAGGATAATGACAAGACGTGTACCTAAGCGTAAGTATTAAAGATAGGTTCACGGGATACACTAGATAGAAGTAACAGGATCAAAGTACAGTATGTGCAGTAATTTTGGAAATGGAGTATAATGACACTGCGTGTTGGTATGAGTGCCGGAGTCTAAGACAACGTGAGCTCGTCTAGAGTTTGCTGGCTCTACGATGACTGCCTAAGACTGACTGGCAGTGTGCTCTCCGAGCTTATATACGTGGTGACCCATGAATAGTGACGTCACTGAAGGTGACGTAATAGTCGCTAATGACATCATGGCCTGACAGAAACAAGTCTCCAATCTCCATACTGAAGTCCACATAATGATTTTCATGAATCTTTTTTTTTTTTGCCTATTCCTGGCATGTTTTTTGGATCATTAATTTGTCATGCACAAATCCTCGCATGACATGGTTTTTACTAGTTAGCTTATTCAAGTCATTTTTTAAGGGGACCGGCTACCCTAAAAATCGGAAATTTTGACTTTTCCGTTTTCTCAACTCATTTTGTAGCTGCTGAAAAAGCGCGTCTAACGCAGTTTACCGCATGTCTGTGCATGCTATAGTTTTTGCGCAAGACAATTTTAAAAATGTATAAAATGAACATTTTTTTAACATGTACAAAGATTTATTTGAATTAAATCTGTATATATAGATCATTACTCTCGTATATTACAAAGTGTTTGCACTCGTTTGAAAGCTACAAACGAGACGCATTCAACAAAGCTACTACCATAGATGTACATGCAGTATTTTTTTGTGTAATGCAGTGCAGCAGTCTTAAACTTTTATAAAATGATCATTTTATACCATTATTTACTTATTTTACTAATAAATGGTATTTAAATGTAATTATTTAGGTTAATTGCAAAGTGTTTGCACTCCTTTGAAAGCTACAAACAAGATGCATTCAACAAAGCTACTACCATTGATGTACATGCAATAGTTTTTACTCAAGGGGACCCCGGCTACCCTAAAATTTTCAATTTTGGTGTTTTTTGGTTTTTGTGCTCATCTGAAAGCTGGAATTCTGCTCTTTCCAATGGTACCACTGCCATCGCTGTACGCCAATATTTACATTCATGACGTCTCTTTAAAGGGAAGTGGGTGGGAGAGTTCTTTAGTTAATTAGATATAAAGTAATTAGCTGCTGAAATCTTTGAATATAGTTTCTACTTGAGTTGTGCTGCAGTTACATGCTTAGTCTCATCTTAAAGCTGACATTCTGAGCTTTCCAACGATACTACTGCGATCCATGTACGGCAATATTGACGCAGATGGCCGGGCTTTAATTGGGGGCGGGGGGTGGAGTTCCTTAACTAAATAGACCTAAGAAAATTAGAGCGGCAAGACTACATATCTTGGTGTATCTGGCATCTGAGCTCAGTTACCCTCCTAACATTGTACGTAGAGGTGCGCTACAAGTTGCTGCTAGCATCCTTGAGTGGATTAAGCTACAGAAGCCTGTAGTTTGGTATCCATGCTACATTGAGTGCCTATTTCGAGGCGCACGGGACTTTGTCGCGCCGTCCTGAAAAGTTTGAAAAGTTCAACTTATTGTCACGGAAAACCTATCTCCTCCTACAGTTTTCAAGCTACAGCAATGAGACATACACCATTCGATTCGTAAGGAAATTACCTAAAAATTTGATGATCATTTTTTTGAATTTCTGTCTGGTTCGCTTTTTATATGGGGGAGAAGGGGGGGAGGAGGGAAAAATGAGAAAAATGGGATAAAACGCGCATAAAAAAAAACTAAGGGGAAAATGAGAAAAGTGATCATCAAATTTTTAGGTATGGTCCTTACAAACCGAATGATACGTGTCTCTATGTTGTAGGAAGATATTTGTAGGAGGAGATAGATTTTCTAAAGTACCCCCTTTTTAGCCGTTTTCTATGAATTTCACGTTTTCTATCAATTTTTCGAAAAATTCATACAAGCAAAATGTTATTTTTTTTACATTTTATGTATGTATGTGAAGTTTCATGATGATCGGGTAATAACTGTAGAAGGGTATAAGGGAATAATTTATTTAAGGGTAGCCGGTCCCCTTAAATAAAATGTCAAATGTTATAAGGAAATTTTGCATTATTTTGCCTTATGAATGGAATGGACTAGCAAAACAAGCCTGAAACTTTCTGGACAGGTTTTTTTTTACTTGAAATTTCTCTGTGTTGAGCCCATTTTTATCAACAGGTGTGAGAAAATAATTGCAGAAGTGTTTTTACTCAGGTTTGCATTGTATGAAATGCCATTTTGAATTGTATTTTTTGAGGCATGCACTGTTTCATACTGCACAAAGCTGCATATACAGGGTTATTCTGAATGATAGAACCCAATTATATAGATAAGTATTTATCAAGTATAAATTCAAAATAAATAATTTATGCACCAATGGGAAGAGATTCAAATTTTTTTCTACACATTTCTAAACTTCCTATATGTATCCCTTGCAATGCATGGCAAACCTTTAAACAGTAGCCAAACTTGTCCCACACGCAAGAAAGCATATCTTCTGTTACTGAGTGCACTGTAGCAGTGATACGGTTCTTCAGAAAAACCCGAGTTGCTGGTAGAGGCGAGACATNATTGGTGGCCAGAAATGTAGAGCCAGATCTACATTTCCTATGACTATGCTTCCTACCCAACGCTCAGGAAAAACTAATTCGGCCTTTGAATAGTTTAAAATTTAATCAATATTTATCCTTCCATTGGTGTATAAATTAGGTATTTCAATTTTTACTTAGATATATGAAAATTTATTGAATTAGGCTATCATATAGAATACCTGATATATTTTTGTAAATTTGAAATTTTGTGGATTGATTGCATAGTTATACAAACCATTGGGATCAAGCATAGAAAAATAATAGATTTGATTTACAATTAGTTAAGAGGTAACTTATCTAGTGGGGATAATTGCGGTTCCAGAAAGAGTGTAAAAGCTCTTGTGGATTAAATTCAGGATAGGTTATGTATCAACAAGTGCACATATCTTAAAATCTTAAACTTGGTTTTCCTCTTTTAGTAAACCAAAAATTAATTTAGCCAAGCAAGTTACCAGGCTGGATCAATCTTGAAGATATGAACGACTATTCCTAGAATTGCACCTTATCAGTTCATGTGTATTATCTTCTCAGAATTCTATCTTGATGGTTGATCCTCATATTTGATTATTCTTTGTGGATCATATGTGTCACCTACTAAGCATATCAAGGTTTAATTTGTCATTATTAGTCTCAGTAAATTGTACTTTTTTGTTTTTTGCAATAACAGTTTTTTGGAAAGCTCCGATCTCACTCAAAGCTCCAATCTGTTGTGATTAATATGCATTTTGATACTTTGCACCTGACTTTTGAGTGTGCATAAATCTTTCCATTCTTGGTCCATTGTCCACTATAACTGTGAAAGAAAATTTGTTTTAACTTTAAATTAAAAAAATGAAAAGTTTTTCATTTTTAATTGTACACCAGGACAATTAAGTGCACAATAGAATTTTAATTTCTGTTATTCACTTCAGAATTTTTGTTGTATTAGTTGCAACCTGTCTGTGTCACTAAACAACACTTGGCTTTTTCTTTACGCAGCTTCCATTGATATGTAATTGAGAGCACCGATTTTGTTTTCTACTAGACAGTAGTAAGCAAATTTAGAATACTCTAGAGAATTTAGAATATTAAAATATTGTAATTATTTTACTTTGGAATATTTTGCAATGTTCCATAAACATTCTTTCAATATTCCCTGTATCAATCACTTTAGTTATGTTCCTATATATATGAAAGGTTTTAAGTGCTGGAGAATTGTCAATGTTAGATTATGCAGCCTTATGTTCTGTTCTAAACCTAATTTGAAAGCAGGTTATATGTTTATACAAGAATTTTTTATGTTATATTGTGAATAAATATATTTTGTAGAATTAATATTATTTGTCGAATTAAAATCAGTTCAAAAATTAGATTCATTGAATTTTTTTATCAATTCAAAAATTCATTTTTATCTAATTTTGGAATAAAATAACACCTTGCTGTACAGACTGGAGGTGTCCTTGTCTCCCATGCTCATTGAAATACATTCTTTTGGGGGGATTTGTGCTGAGCAAACCCCATCAGAGTATTTATATACATTATAATATTTCAGCTCAATGTGATATTCTTTCAGCTATAATTTTGTGGCTACATTCTGTGCCATGAGATAGGTTGAATGCCTGCTCAGTTGTCGTGTCAGTGCATGACTGTACCTGCTCAGTTGTCATGTCTGTGCATGACTGTACCTGCTCAGTTGTCATGTTCGAGTGGAAGAAACCTAAGTTTGGAGGGTTTTGAGGGCTTGAATGGGATTGAAGTGCGTCTGAACATATTTCTGGGAGAGAATCGGTCTTGGATGAATCAGGGCCATAAATATTGCTCCTAGCTAGCTCAGAATTTCTGTACCATTATCATTTATTTTTTATCTTAGCAATTAAGTTAATTTGACCCTTATTTTATGCCATTAGTTTCAATCACTTGTGCAATGAATAAATTGAAATTTTTATTCCATCAAGGAATGTTCCAAGTTATGCATTGGCTGTGCTGTTTACCAAAGCCTGTGCAAATGATATCATTCGCAGGAGAAATATATATATTATTGTAAGAAGTAATTGAATAGCTTCTTCCAGTTCAAATAGGGCTCAATTGCAAGCATTCCCTTGTTCATACACTTGCAAGTTATTTTTACTGTCATGATTATATCAAATGCGATTAAGTACTAAATGCCATGCCCAGCGGCGGAAACAAATATACCACAGTGGTGGATGATGGTAATTCTAAGAGCTTATAACAAGATTAGAGAGCTGTTACTGGTATTTCATGAAGTGTGAATGGGTGGCTTAGTCTGAAAGGATTTATTTTAGGTGATCTATCTTTGAACAAGTTTTGTTTGTGGTAACCATGTTAGTGCCCAATAAGATGGAAACGTATGGTAATTTAAATAGAAAAAAGGCTATTCACATTATGTTATGGGTGCTGAAGAAGCGACTCTTTCACGTGTGATTAGATGCTCTGGGTTATTCAGCAATATTCATATCACTTGTGAAGGCAGGTTTTCAATAACATCTTAGATGTACCCATGTCCTTGCAGCTTATTTCTAGTTTAACTAAAACAGATCATAAATAAAGAAACACAAATAATGAACTGAACAAACTCGTGCTACTAATATATAATTGTTTGCAGGAATTGCAAGACTTGGGTCGTGACCCTCCAGCCCAGTGCTCAGCAGGTCCAGTAGGGGAGGACATGTTCCACTGGCAGGCCACCATCATGGGTCCAGCTGACAGTCCCTTCCAAGGGGGCGTTTACTTCCTCACCATCCACTTCCCCACAGACTACCCCTTCAAACCCCCCAAGGTGGGGTGGCTCTTGCAGTCATCGCTTATTTTTTTCAGTGCCTGTGCACTTTAGTTCATTATAGTAGATTTATATCTTACAGTCATCAATTCTTTTTTTCAGTGCCTGTGCACTTAAGTACATCATACTGGATTTATAATTGTAATATACTATTTTATCATCCATCCATATATGTATGTATAATTGTTTACAAAATGTATCTGTTCTACACTGTATTCCAATTAAGTAAAAATTCCGTGACAATCAACATCTGTATGGGATTAGGTATATCTTTGACTCTGAGCTAGGTTGGTCAACATAAAAAATGTATAGAAGAAATTATTGGAATCGCAGGTTATTTCAATTTTAAATGCTGCACATTTTCTGTTCATTTTCTTTAAAGTTGAGCAGCTGACGAGGTTGATGTTTAGCTGCCACTGAACTGAAGGTTATTTAACTTATTCTTCATTTGCAGGTGGCATTCACAACTCGCATATATCACCCCAACATAAACAGTAACGGTTCAATATGTCTGGATATTCTTCGTGGTCAATGGAGTCCTGCATTAACTATTTCTAAAGGTAAAACCAAGAAAAACTGTATTTATGGCTGGCAGCTGCTATAGAAAATATTATTTAATTCAGCTAAACCAGCCTCATGAAAATAGGATTAGATTACTTCCTTGATAATCCTTCTTTATTTGCTCATGATTTAATTATATCCTACACTTAATCTTTCTGTGAAAATTGATTTTACTGTAAAACAATTGATATTTCAGAATTTAACCCAAATCGAGAAGTACTCACAAAATTTGTATTACACCCCGTTTTGTATTATTTTTGTTACCAATCTTCTGCTCCGTATTATCTGGTAACAATAACACATTTTTATAAATTTTCAGTATTGCTGTCGATCTGCTCTCTGCTGACGGACCCGAACCCGGAAGATCCTCTGGTGCCTGAGATCGCGCGGATGTACAAGTCTGACCGTGAGAAGTACAACGAATTGGCCAGAGAATGGACGCGCAAGTATGCCATGTGATCTTCCTAACGCGCTCTGGGGTGACTGGCCGCGCCGCTGCTGCTTGTGTGTCACTCCGCCCTCACAGCACCGCCACCACCACCACCACCACGTCCTCCTCTTCTACCATTCTTGATCTGCTTCTCTTCATGCCTCTAAGTCCATTATAGTTATTTCTGTGGTCGCAGAGCTATCCTGTTGATGTCGTTGCGCAAAGAGCTGTCGTGGCAATGCCAGAGCTGCGCATTTGCACCCATTAGGTCTTTCCTTGCCTAACTGAATGCTACGTCCGAAAATAATTTGGTATGGGCCGGGGATGTTAAGTGGTCCCAGAACTCGCTGGGTACGCTCAGGTTCTTATTGAATGCGCGTGAATAAATTGTTTTTACCTCGTGTATTTTAATTGGTATAGGCTTGTCAGATTAGAATTTTCTTAAATTTGGGTGTGGGTGTAAAACTCTGCTCAATATTCAACTTCTCCCTCCGAGTCTTGAGATTTCACGAACTCCCACGAACCGCGCGTTTGAATGGTGTTCAGTGCTTCTGACCGCAACATTTGCTGTATTCCCAGCAATTCGCTGTCTCTGAACTTCGAATATCGTTCTATGGACGCGTGTGTTACCGTTCCTAATATTTCCCCTCGCAGCTCCGTCAGCTAACATGATCCTAAGTCTGTACATGATGCTGAGAGCCTTCATTATTTGAGCGACTGGCCCTTGTTTGTTCCTACGTCCATTTTAATGTGTGGCGGTAACTGATCGGAGGATTATAATAGAGCACGAAGAAGCAGTTAACGTGGTGGTTGCTTGATCAGTTATTCTATTGTCACTCTCTTTATCGCCTGGGCCTCTAGACGCGTTGATCATCGCATATTGTATAGGATCCAATAATCTGCTTAAGAGTTAGTCATTATTAAATTGATCATATTTATGAATGATTTTGCCTGCTCATCTGGGATTGACGGCATCGTTTAGTTCTAATTGATTTTTTTTGTATTCTATAATGATTCACAATGCTCTCATACGAACTGTACATTTTTTTTATCCCTTTCAATTGTTGTATTGACTGCCAAATTCAGTTTCTAAAGCACGAAGATGGTTTATTATTTTTTTCAATTTAAAAAATGTTTTTCTTTGCGATTATACTGGAATAAATACACCGTAGTTTTTGTGCTACCAAACAGTTCGATAATGAGGGTCTAGCCTGCAGGAGTGCTGCTGCAGCCCCTGGTCTGGTAGAGGTGCTGCTGCAGCCCCTGGTCTGGTAGAGGTGCTGCTGCAGCCCCTGGTCTGGTAGAGGCGCGGCTGCTCCTGACTAAATAAAACGTCGAGTTTTTCATGACTGCGAGAAGTGCCCCACGGACCACAAGTTATGGCCATCAGTTTGTTATTGGTATTTTATGACGCCAAGTTGAATAATATTCAGTTAGTTGGTATAGGCGGTCGTAATAGACATGGCCATGTTGAAATGGAACATTCTAACAGCCAGGTAAACTTGATGGATGAGAAGAGCGCGAACTGCAGTCAGCTGATCGCAACACGATTACCATGTTAAGTAACGAACTACGGCCTTATGATAATAGGTGCATGTGCGAACTGGAGAAAACGCGAAAAACTTTCGAATTTTTTTATCTTTAGATATCAAACTGATAAGAAATCATGAATCAGAGATAAGTGGAGAGAGCTTCGTTGAAGGCTGAAGATTACCATATTGACGAGTAACAACCTACGGCCTTATAATGGGTGCATGTGCGAACTGAAGGAAACTTTAAAAACTTTCGATTTTTTTTATCTTTAGATATCAAACTGATAAGAATGATGAATCAGAGGTAAAAGGAGACTGGAAAGAGCTTCGTTGAAGGCTTGCGGCTTCAACAAAGCGGTATGATCTAGAATTCTACATAGATTGACTGTCCTGGTCTAGCCTGTGGTCTGCTAGAGCTGGGAGTAATCAGATGATAGGTAATTGTTGCACAAATTATTCTGACTATGCATTGTATAATAATTTATTGAACGAGAAACCTGAGTTAACTGAACAATAATTGTTATGGTAATTTAGGGACTGCAGCGCATCTACTGAAAGATTCCAAGAAGCATGGACTTCTTTGCGCTACAAAGCTTCTAAATTATCTACTTACATTTAATTTGGGAGTTGATGCCCATATTTCATGATCAGGTAATTCGGAGGCGGTAATAAACTCGTTTTTTAGCAAGACTTGAACTGAATTGATTAAATCGAATTTCAATGAATTTATCTAGGACGTCTTTTGAGCAGCGCACTTGATGAGATGTTCAGTGCTACATACGTCGGTATCAGATGCCGGATAAATACCCATATGTTCAGCATGGCTAGTGGAGTATGTGAATGAAAATAAGTTGTCTGAAGGCGTACATTTTTTCCAGGCAAATATTCATTTAACTTTACAAGGTTGCCATACGGCTTAGGAAGGATTAGCAAACCTGAGGGCAATTTTTCTGTCTCTGGTAATATATTACCTCAGGCAAATTCTTGATGTGGAAGGGGGCGATCGTTTTGTTTCAGCAACTTTTGGAAGGTGCACGTTNTTTCCGGCCAAATTCGCCAATTTGGGCCTTCTTCAAATCGTATTGGCCTGCTAAAATAAAGTAGGGTTTCAAAAAATCTAAAAAATTCAATTCTAACACCGCACGTTATAAATTTGTTAATAAATATTAAATTTTGGTCACTCCTAGCCTTTTTGAACTCATTTGACCGATTTTACTCCACGTCGCCGCGAGTAGCTGCTGACTTCACCATCTCGCCAGGACTGTTTCATCATCAGTCATACGACTTATGATGAAATAAGTCATACACCAACATAAGCATTCACCAACAGCCGCATCCAGCACTTCTGTCTTTCAAATAATTACTCGTGTGCAACTTTCAAGAAGTAATTCATGCAAGTGAAGCAACGTCGGAATGATGAGGCGAGAAACAAATGATAAAGTTGGTTGCAGAACATATTTTATGAAGAAATAACTTTCTGGAGATGGTTTAGGCAGGAGGCAGGTGGCAGGACCAGGCAGGTGGCAGGAGGCAGGTGGCAGGAGTGGCACACCGCGTGAGTTAAGAGCTTCGAGGAGAAACTTGATGAAAGACTTGAAGTTATGCGCAGGCAGACGAGAGAACAGCACAACTGATGTGACATGAACCACTGATGTGCACAACAGCACAACTGATGTGACATGAACCACTGATGTGCACAACAGCACAACTGATGTGACATGAACCACTGATGTGCACAACAGCACAACTGATGTGACATGAACCACTGATGTGCACAACAGCACAACTGATGTGACATGAACCACTGATGTGCACAACAGCACAACTGATGTGACATGAACCACTGATGTGCACAACAGCACAACTGATGTGACATGAACCACTGATGTGCACAACAGCACAACTGATGTGACATGAACCACTGATGTGCACAACAGCACAACTGATGTGACATGAACCACTGATGTGCACAACAGCACAACTGATGTGACATGAACCACTGATGTGCACAACAGCACAACTGATGTGACATGAACCACTGATGTGCACAACAGCACAACTGATGTGACATGAACCACTGATGTGCACAACAGCACAACTGATGTGACATGAACCACTGATGTGCACAACAGCACAACTGATGTGACATGAACCACTGATGTGCACAACAGCACAACTGATGTGACATGAACCACTGATGTGCACAACAGCACAACTGATGTGACATGAACCACTGATGTGCACAACAGCACAACTGATGTGACATGAACCACTGATGTGCACAACAGCACAACTGATGTGACATGAACCACTGATGTGCACAACAGCACAACTGATGTGACATGAACCACTGATGTGCACAACAGCACAACTGATGTGACATGAACCACTGATGTGCACAACAGCACAACTGATGTGACATGAACCACTGATGTGCACAACAGCACAACTGATGTGACATGAACCACTGATGTGCACAACAGCACAACTGATGTGACATGAACCACTGATGTGCACAACAGCACAACTGATGTGACATGAACCACTGATGTGCACAACAGAAAATCTCGAGATGTGATGAGGTGAATGACTAAATTTAGGTAAGAAAAACACGAGTTTCATAACAATTCAACAATGCTTATATTTATTGTGCTAAACTAATAATATTTTTAACAATACGAGAAATACGAGAAACTAGTTACTTACATCTAGTATATGTTCTTATATCTGGTGTATGTTCTATTTTAAAAACACTGCTTAATTATCTAAGCCAGTCACCAGGGGTTTCTTTATTAAGACGTTAAGTGCGACACGGCCCACCACGGTTCCCAGATGGCCTAAAAACGGCCAAGTCCGCGGACCAAAAAGGCCTTTTCTTCAATATTTACTAGTAATTTTGTTCATTTCATTTTTTGTACTAAAAAAATTTAATACGGAAGTGCACTGTTTATTTAGCCCACGTGGCTTAGGCGAAATTTCGACACTCAGGTTTCGAGGAGTTTTATTTGGGTAATCTTGAAAGCATAGATTCTGCAACTATGACATCAGAAATATTAGCTATCTAATACATAAGATAAACTTGTAAGTATAAGCAGAATTAAATCCAAATGAACCAAAAAAATAGATCAGAATCAATAATGCAGGACTAATAAATTGCAGCACTAAACTCACCGAGGTATTTCGCCACTACAGGAGGTTTAAACTACGAATGACAATTTATTTCCAGATAAACTTCGGTCGGATGACTGAAGGTTTTAACAGAAAGATTACGTGAAGCGTACATGTGAAAAATTGCGATTACATGTACCATCATATTTTTTCCGGCCAATGCAATGAAAGAAAAACTAAGTAGTGGAATTTGTCTAGAAAAAGGCCCTGCCACCCACCAATGGGGCGTGTTAAAGATTATCCCCATTGCTGACTCTAAAAAAATGTTCTACTGTGAATTTCTACGTGCATTGGCACCTGAGCGGACACTCTCCGTTCTATAATACNCAGACGCTCCAACACCTTCACAGACGGGCACAGGAGGGAGATGGGCCGGTATGAAGAGCTGATAGACGGGGGTTTGCCTGGCTTTGGAATGGCAATGATTGTGGCCGACTTCCAGATGGCAGGGATGTCGGCCTTGGCGAGGGACAGATTGTAAAGTTGGGTGAGGTACTGGCTGTCTCTTATACACATCTAGATGTGTATAAGAGACAGACCTTAACCTGTACGGGGGGTAAACCTGGTCAACCTTAACCTGTACGGGGGGTAAACCTGGTCAACTTTAACCTGCAAGATAATACAACTAGCTACTATCACCTTTAAATGGCACATGTTTTAGGATGTTATACCTAATTACCACCCTGGTTAAATTGTTTGTCCTAATATCCTACATAATAATAATAATAATGACATATAAAAGGCAGTCCTGAATGTTCATTTCCTTCCAATTGAATGCATACGCAGTACTTACAGTCATATTCGATCTTAATAAATGTACAAGGAACAATTCAGTGGCAGCCAATTGCTCGTGATCTTACGATACCTACATCAACTGTCATCAATGCTATTCCTACCCGAAGGCTGTCAGCAACATATAAACCATCAAGTCTAATTCGAAGATATATTAAAGTGCTGCCAAGATCCTGAATGTTCAGAATAATTAATATTTAAATCCAAGTAATTTGTTTACTCCAATACAAATTAGAATTAAACAAAACAAATAATTTAAACTGCACATACATTAGGTTTTCATTGTATTTGTAGCAGCAGCAACACACCGTGCTAAGACCAAGAAGGGAGAACTGAAAAGCCAGAAATGGCTGGAAAAATACAATAAACAAGGCACGAGAAATGCTTTGTTGACAAAGGAAGAGAGAGCTTTCACAAAGAGACCAGAGTGCAAATAACCTAACAATGTTGACAAAAAGGCAAATGCAGAAAATGTAACTGCTCCGCCTAGAGAAGTCGATGATAAATGCAGGGTTAGGTTGTACTTAATTTGTGACAAGCAGTAGATGGTGAGTTAGTGTTGAAGTTAACTGTGATCAGGTATGGTTGAATATGGTCACTTAGACGAGAAATGTTGAGCAAAAGAGAAACCTCTACATTAACTGCAAATGTATAGCTTAATGGGAAGATGTAGGCAACATTTGTCAATCTCAGAATTTTATAGAATACATATTTCACCCAGCAACACAGGAGGCAATGCTGCTTAAATTTTTTGCAGCTTCTACCCTTTTATGAAAACTTTCATAATTTAATTCTCAAGACAAAAGCAAAATGCATTATTTTGCAATCAAATGCACTATATGTCATGGGCATAAAAACGCAACATAATTGTGACAGCATCTTTTCGTTCACTGCAGAGCTTGTCATTTTAGAACAAAACAAGTTAAGGCTATTAATAAGCAGCCAGCATTCAGTACCCTCACCTCAGCCAAGTGGAATCTCCCCTTGAACTTCAGAGCAAGGCTCTCAAGGAGTGGTTTGAGTGCATGGCAAGGCTCGCACCACTCAGCGTGGAAATTCACCACCACGGGAACGCTGCTTCTCATCACTTTTTGTTCAAAATCATCTTCAGTTGAGATGACATAGATTTCTTTGAGCTTGGAAGACACATGCAGCTGCCTTTTCAGTGTCTGTGGCGGCTTACAGAGGACAACACAATCCATGGCAGAGGCAGCAATGGATGAACTACAAGCTTGGTTGGTTAGAAGGCTGATGCTTGGTCTTTGTTCTTGACAGAAAGTTGGATGATAATGACGAGCAGCTCCTGGAACTTGCCTTCTTAGAATAAGTTTCGAGACCACACATGATGAAGACATTGTCAGAGAGTGATAGAGAACTTTCATAATACTAATTTTTTCTAAACGAAGAATGCTAAAATCTTGTACTAAAAAGGCGTGCTAGGAGTATAATTGTGTTTTATCACTTGTAAAGGCCTCTCAGTCACACATGTTAACGTCTACAATAACAACATGGCACTTCAAGGAAAATGTACACTCAACACTCAAAACACTGCCTGATGAGGCCGAGATAGAGGAGGCTCAAAACACTGCCTGCTGAGGCCGAGATAGAGGAGGCTCAAAACACTGCCTGCTGAGGCCGAGATAGAGGAGGCTTGCGAGACAGAAGAGGGCTTGCAAAACGTGGAGAGGCGCAGTGCAGCACCAGCACCACCACAGACAAGGCAGAGCCTAGGGCAGCAGTCAGGAGCACTGCAAGCCACGTCCAGAAGCTACCGTCTGTGCCAACCTGTGATATAAAAAATATAACTCAGTACTCAGTGCAGTGAGTGCAACAGCACATTTTCTTGTCAACGAAAACATGAAGTCACAGACGGACAGACAGACGGAGAGACAGATGGACGGACTGACAGACATGGCGAGCACAATAGCGCATTTTTTTCATAAATGAGGAAATGCACTGGAAAGATAAGAAGATTCATGGAACAATCAGCAGATAATTTCAAATGTAATGGAAGAATCCTGCAATAAGCAATAAATTTTATATATACTTTGTCTGTGTATAGGGAGGGCTGTTGAGGTGCATATTCACAATACTTAGCATGTTGGGATTGGATGAAAATTTAATTATATTTTTAATGGGTAAATATAAATATAATATAAATTTCAAACAGTTTTTCTATATTTTGAAAAAAACAGTAAAATTAGAGTTCCATCTGATATGTAAAAGATGTGTTTGACCGTATTTATTTTATTAGAATACAAAGGTTTCATCAGCATTAACTCAATAAGAGATGGAAAAAATGAATGGATTTTTAGAAGCAGGATTTAAAAATTGCAGGAATTATCAGGCCAGGGCAATGTTGGGCTAACCTGCTAGTGTAATAAAATAGAGCTAACAGTTTGGTGCAATCTGGGGTGAATTCTATTACAAAGTTATTTTCGAATCTATTTCCAAGTACTATTTACATTTGAAAAAGTTGCTACAGAGAAAAATTGGATCTTCACAGCAAAAGCTGTCAAATTTATCAGTGAGTGAATAGTGAAATGTATTTATACGTGTCTTAATGCTTATCAATTAGTGTAATGAGGGAGAGGGTGTGTGGTACAAGGTCTCAATAGACAAACTAAGCCAGTGTACATAGAAAATTTGTCTCATCATCTTACTAATGCACTGCGTGAAATTCTAGGATAGTGCATAAGTTTGTCATTATTGGGCAGTTGCATGTCCATCTCTCAACAGTGATTGATTGTGTACTGGTTAATTATCACAGCCAATATGTGCAATTAAAATTTTTCTGCCAAGCTGAATTGATGAATAATAGTATCATATAAAAAGTTCATGGTTAGTTATCAATAAATTAGCAAGACATCCTAATTGAGGGCACTTAAACAATGTACAATGGAAAATGACACTACAATATACTCACATAGAACACTTCTTCTGCGTCGTCTTGCTCCAAGGCTTGATGCAGCTGAGTGTTTGATGAGTTTTGAGCAATGCTTTTGAGTACAATGACTAACAACAAAATGATGAATGCACAACAGAATGCCAGTGCAATTTTCCCTTCATTCTTCAATGAAAGTCCAGCCAAGACACCAACAATAGAAATTAAAACACTCACACTTAATAGAACAATAATGCCTTCTCCTACCATCATAAAGGGACAGAATCTGCAACACAATGTTTATGAATAAAATAATCTTGAAAGTAATACCTCAACTTTTCATAAGTATATAGCTAAAAAGGTCTGACATAGGTAGGTATTGACTTAAGGACTTTGTGTGGCCCTGGAAAGCTCATTGGAAGATGCAATGTCTATTCACTCATAAATATTGTTTGCTTAAAACTTACTTTTTCTATATTTGCATACACATGAGAAGTATGAAAACAAAGCAGTATCACAATTAATATACACTCTATTAAAAAAAAAATTATTTGAGTTTGAGCTAATTCAACAAATTTTTGCTTAGGTTATGGAAATTTCTTTTCAGGATGTCAATTAGGGCAATACCTTTTTAGTTTTGCAATATTTTGATTAGTTTAGCTGCTACAACATTTCTACAAAATGTGGGACGCGCGTCCCTATTTACCCTGTCCGTCCCTTTTTACCCCGTCCATATCTTTTAACCCCATTTGACGGTATAAAATATAAAATTAACTAAAGGACTTTTGAATTAATTGTGGCACATTAAGATACCATAATTAGTTCCAGATATCAGCCAAATTTGGGAGTCAATCCTAAAGTTACTGGTGTAAAAGTAACTTTTAAAACCCCAAATTTTAACTTCAAGGTGTTTCGAGAGCAAAATGTGAAATGAAATATTTGTTACATCTTCAGGAAAGTATCCGAGATTACCAAGAGTGGTTTGTTAGTAGCATATGGTACTGTCAAACCAGATAATAAAGGACAGTTTTGAGCATTGTTTGTTAATAACTTCTTACAGTGAAACATTCCATAAACAAATTTGAGCTCATTTAATAGCTCTTTGTGAGGGCTATTATATGGTATCAAAAAAATTCCATTGCTATTCGTAAGGTGCCTGACACAAAATAAAAGCGTCCCAAATTACCCCTGGAAACTGTGTAATCCGAGACACTTGAAATAAAACTCAATTTTGAAACATTTGACTAAAAATTTGAAAGCAAAGAATAGTCCACAAAAATTCATATCTTCATAGAAAACGTTTCGGAGTCCAGCTCCATAGTCAGTTCGTAGAATCTAGAATATACATAGAAAGTCACAAGTTAATACAATTGAAAGCACAGAACACAATTAGAACCTAAATTTACAAGTAATAGGGCATAAAAACCTATCTATTCACAATTTCAAGGGGATAGGAGCTCACAGCTGAATTTAAACTGGGCCTAAGCTTATAAATGTACAATGATTTTAAGATCCGCAAATCTGAAGTACCGGAGGTAGAAGCTAACACCCTAAAGTCACTGTCAGAAACAGGCACATCACACTGCTTGGCGTGAGTGTGCACAGCCAAATGAGGGGGGCGCGATAGCAACTGTCCGATCCCACAACTCCTGCCCTTATGCTCAGCGATCCTGCAATCCTGCCCTTATGCTCAGGATCGCTGAGCATATTTCAGGATCGAGCTCAGGATCGCCTTTGAACCCAATATTTCTATGACTGCCGATTGATTGAGATAGCTGCTGGACTTATTGCCTGGTCCATAAGGTGCTATGCATAGCTTGGTCTAGTAGTTTTGTATATCAGCAAGCAGTTTTCCAGCTCATTTATGGCACAATTGTTATAAAGCAGGGATGGGTCCTTTGCTCTTTCTTTAAACAAAGATAACTTTAGCAGTAAAAATATGCTCAAGAAAAACCAACATTAGAGTGATGTACCAAATGTAGAATTTATAACACTGCAGTGTAAAAGCATAAAAGATATATAAATTAGCATAAAAGATGTAGGTACCTATATCGGTGTCAGCATTCATTAGGCCGTTAGACCTGTTGCCAATCTTAGCAGCGCAGAAATATTCACAGCTTGTTGCAGGTCTCAAACACCTAACTCACTGCTCCAATCATGCTAAAATAATAAGTTCTATTAAAATGGCAGCAGTGGAAGGTGAAGGCATCTGGTTGAAGCAGCCTAGCTCTAAGCAACGTAGCTGCAGCTTTGGTTAAGAAAACTCAATCTTTATTTCCGCCTAGCATATTGTTTTGTTTTCTGCCTACATTTTGGTAGAACATTCAAGTTCTTCCAAACATGAAAGGAAATATTGGTTGTTCATTTTTTATTTTCTTGAGTTCCGTAACTGTTGTGCTTTACCGCAGATGCTTCCTGTGAAGTGCTCACCATAACACTTATTGACTTGATCATATTTTACAATGAAAATAAATTTTCTAACTTGTTGCTAAAAGTTGCGTCATCACTCAACCCGTTGAATGCAATATCCATCTTATGTCTATATGCGTTAAGTTGTCCAAGTTGTAATGTGTAACAATATTTGTGAAAATTGCATATGTGCATATTTTACATAATAAATCCTTGCAAAAAATGCATAGAATATTTGAATAGCTATAATCAACAATGACACCAAGGAGTTTCTCTATCTATAACTCAGTATGGACGTACATTTAAACATTAAAATGTTAGCTTTTGTTTATGTGATCCATGGGAGATGTTTCAGACAATTTGAATGTAGAAAATAGAAAAAATGTTTACTTTATCTTGATAGGACACTTCAGTCAGTCTGTCTTTATCTCATGCTTTTTATTAGAGCCCTTTATTATCAAATGAGGAAACATCAATAGATGCATAAACAATTTTAAAATTTGACTGCCAATAAATATTGCTTGCACTCATCTCATTAGTATTTCTATCATTTGAACAAAACTATATCATAGTATACTGGTATAGTATATTGGTGGTTTCATCAATCATTAGACCATTAGACTTGTCCCAATTCTCAATTTCACCAAATATTTACAGCTAGTTGCTGTTTTGAATATGCTACTCATTCAGCACACTCCAGTTTTGATGCGCTTAACCATTAGGTCACCTTGCCTATTTGACCAGGTACCGTAAAATGGGGTAACTTAGACCACTTTTTTTTATAAATGATGCCATTTTTTTACTAGCTAAATTAAACTTGAATTGAAACATGCAAAATACAGGTCTATACTCTTAGCTGTGATTGGTTGATGGGGATGCTTTCAAGCTGTGATTGGTTGATGGGGATGCTTTCAAGCTGTGATTGGTTGATGGGTCATGAGGATGCTTTCAAGCTGTGATTGGTTGTTTCCATAAGCCCCGCCCCCAAATATGGTATATGTGCTACAGTACTAGGGCCATACTTTCAAAACTCGCTAAGTGAACGTAAGTACTTACGCTCTATTTTCTTATCTATGATTGGTGGATTTTGCTTGCGTAGCCGTCAATGATTGGCTGAAGAACTTACGATCTCTTAACTTTTTTTGAAAGTATAGGCCCTGGTTGACTAAATACTTAACTTAAAACTTGATCATCATGAACAAAGGGCCTGGAAAATTTTCTAAAAATCCAATAAATAAAATAAAAATAAAAAATATCTATCAAACAAGAGACATCCAAAATTTCCAAATTATTCTATAACAAACCTGATGTACTATACAATTGAAACAGTTTGTCCATTTATGATCCATCTTTACATTTATAGTCAGTAACATGGCTGTCATGGCAGAGCACTGTATCAAAGGAAAGCTTTTTACCTTGGGTGGAAAGCTTTTTTTATAAGTGAACTTCCATTCTTAGAATTCCAGCCTGCTACTTATAGGTCTCAAAAATGAACTTGAGGGAGAGTCTAAAAAACTCTCTGCTTTGTCACTAATCACTATGCCTATTGCCTAGGTATGCTGGGGCAGCTGGGATTTCCAGATTTTTAGGTCATGCTTTCCAAATTGGCGGAATTGCTATGTTTACCAGTTAATATATTACTCCTCTCAACTCTCAAGTCTCAGTCCTCTGGAATTCCACACTGAATTATTTTGTATGATATTAGAGCCACGCTATTTCAGAAAAATATAGGACTCTTCCCAAG